CAACTATAAAAATAATTAAATAAGAACCCACAATATCTACAAGTTAGTCATAAATTATGATTGTTAAATATAAGGCATTTAAACTCACAAAACCCTGTAAACTATCAATGTTTTGTTCCTAGAGACTTTTTGTTGTTTGTTTAGGTTTGTTTTTTTTTTTTTTAGACTCACCCTATTTTCGCAACCTACTAGTACAAATTATTTAAACGCAAAGGAACCTGACACACCGATGCAACTCCAGACGCTGTAAATTCGCACGCACCTCGGGATCAGTCACTCACACGAGACCACGGGAGTTTGGTGCTTTTCTTCACCAAGGTTTTTTTTGTTTTGTTTTGCTTTTTTTAAAAACTGTGCTTGTTCATTAGGCAAATAGTAATACTTTCGCATAGGCTTTAAGAAAACATGCGGTTTGGAAGCGCTCCTCCTTCCCTCCCTGCCAGGCCATGGTCCCAGTCGCCCCCCGTTCCTCCCCATGCTTCACTCCCAGCTCATGCCTGGACAGACCAGACCAGCTTACAGTGTATTTTACCAGCAAAGCCTTGCTTTGCTTGTCTATACTATTAGTAATATTAGTATTATTTTCAATGCTGCTTCAATCTGCTGCTGCTGGAGCAAGCCCCATAAGTATTGATGGACCACTCCTTGTCCCATGGACATAAGGGGTGGGACCACTACATCCCCCAGGAAGCCATCCCTTGCACTGGGTGGCAAATACATCATAGAATCGTAGAATCGTTTGCGTTGGAAGGGACCTTTAACGGCCACCTAGTCCCACCCCCCTGCCATGAGCAGGGACATCTTCAACTGGATCAGGTTGCTCAGAGCCCCATCCAACCTGACCTGGAATGTTTCCAGGGATGGGGCATTGACCACCTCTCTGGGCAACCTGGGCCAGTGTTTCACCACACTCAGTGTAAAAACTTCTTCCTTGTATCTAGTCTCAATCTCCCCTCTTTTAGTTTAAAACCTTTAGCCCTTGTTCTAGCATAACAGGCCCTACTAAAAATCTGTCCCCATTTTCCTTATAAGGCCCCTTTAAGTACTGAAAGGCCACTATAAGGTCTCCCCCGAGCCTTCTCCAGCTCTCTCAGCCTGTCCTCAGAGGAGCCCCCAGATCATTTTGTTGCCCTTCCAGGACTGTCTGGGGAAACTCAGGTAATACAGCACTGATAATGCATTCCCCAAATTCTGAAGTACTCCATGCTGAAACGGTCAAGATGCCTCCTGTGGCAAATACATCTAAACATTCACAGCAACAAATGGAGTTTACTGAAGCAACGGCCTTTGTAACCTGACTCAGGTGGTACTTGTGCCCTCTGTCCCCTCCCAAACACACTCATGGTGGTAGTGCTTGTGTCAAGGTGGAGCAGAGGGAGCAGTGAAGCTCTGCTGACTTGGAAAACACCCAGCTAGCACAGCAGAGGGAAAAGCTTCCACCCCATTTCCAAAATATCCCCTAAATGTAGAAGACAGGAAGGACATTTTCCTTAAGAAGGTGAGTTCATGTCAGATTTATTCACATTTGGTAAGATCAGGGCAAGCTAAACTTGATTAATATGGCCCAAACTGAGTGAAAACAGAGATAAGAGTTATCACTCCTTGGAATGGTTAGTATAAGTACTGTTTTTGGAAGATTCAGGTGTAGAAATAGTTGAGGATTGTGAGAAAGGTAAATGAACAGGTTTGAGTGTCAGAAACAGATGTAATCAACGTGTCTCTTTTTATTTCACATTATAGAACATGTTCTTTATTATTAACACATTTGATCTAATTAGCATCAATGATTTTTCCACAGGACAAAACCAGAAACAGTGAAAAACAAGCGGATATGGTATAAAGGTCTCCATACCTGGTGGTCCATACAGCAATAATCCTTTCCAAGGAGACAGAATGCCTGTAAACAGCTGGGGGTACTGTGGAAACAAAAAAGTAATTCAGGGATTAAAAATGTATCACCTATAACATAATGGAAGGGATTCTAACCCCTACCCCACTGCTCCTAACGCATTCAGGAAACCAAAAAAATTTGCATAGAGGGGGATAAAACTCCTGCAAAACAATATAATATATATGATCTGAGTACTGAGAAAAATACTGTATTTACCATATGAAATACGTTTTAAGTGAATTCTTCAAATGCAATTGGTTTGGTATTCTCTTCTATAAGTCATTTTCCATTGAATTAATGTAGACCATATCCAGCACCTCTTACATTACCAAAAGTGCCAAAGAATAGGACCCAACACTTACAATTTTAATATTGAAAGGCCATTTTCCTATAGAAGAATGCATATGCCATTGTCAGATGAAACAAACAAGAACAGTTCTAACATGAACAGCCTACAAAAGCACTGAAATACTGAGAACTCTAAAACACCACTGTAATGACAAGGAAAATGCTAATGAGCCCAACACTGGTTTTCTCAGAACTATTTTGTGCCTTACCCTTATGGGATAAACAACTGCTTCCTTGACTAGCCTTTTAGCTGCATCCAGTCCAATGATATCATCCCACTTCACGTTTGGATTATGGAGATAAATGTCCTGCAACATACATCACATCCTGTTAGTAAAACTCAAGTTCTGCACTAAGATAACGACCTCTGAGAAAATAACAGACTCGACTCAGTTATGGAGTGATACAAACTGTATTATTTAACCCTACGTACTAGGGACCTCCCAAGAGGAAAGCTTACACAGCAGTCATTTCTACAGTACTGCGACATTCTGCCTTGCTTCCCCTCCAGCCCCTAGTTTCCCTATGAGCATATACACTGCCAAGAGTATACGCTGAGCAGATCTGTTTTCAGATCTGTTTTCAATTAGTTAGTTTTAATAATCAGCTAACATATGACAAACTATCATGAGATGAAGCCTAATGTTTTGTCTCTAATGCTGGCAAGTGAAATGATGACTGAAAAAAAAGTATAAGCAACAGGACTGACATGTTGGTTCGTATTTACATCCACCAAAATCTGCAACTGAAGGACTTTGATAATTAAAAGTTTGAAATCTGAAATTAAAATGTGGCACTTATCACTTATAAGTAACAGTGAAAAATTGCTATGTACCCCGCACTATGCAAGATTTTATATGCTGCAAGAAAAGGTATGACAAACTCTGTAACAGAAGGAAAACTTTGCCCTAAGCATCTATCAAAAAAAAGTCGGTAATTAGTCTACGCCCTGAAGCACTCACTAAATTAATTAATTAATTTCATTTAATTCATTGAACTTTACAAATCTTCCATGAATCTTTCCATTTGCCTTAGCAATATTTGGTGACTTTGCATTCCAGAGACTAATTGTTCTGCAGAAAGTATCATATCCTCAACACAAATACTTGGGATAAATTTTGCTCTCCAATAAAAACAGGCAGTCTTCAGAGACTGAAGAAAAATTATTTGCTTATATCCAAGGGGAAAATTTGATTTAATACAATTAGAAAAATTATTTATATAGAGTAGATTACACTTTCCCTTTCTATTAACAGCAAATTAAGATGAATCAGATTTATGATGCTAAGTAGAGACTTCCATAACTGCTTCCAAATTAAATTAGATTGTGTTGTGAAATAGATACCACATGCTATTTATTTTTATTGATTTACACAGTGTTGATTACTATAGCAACTAGGAACATACCAGTACAATTTAAAAAACATACCATAATGAAGGCTAAAGCAACCTTACTGCTTTTTGCAGAAGCAGCAGCAACAACACCACCACTATTTTTAAAGGTTTACCATAAATTAAAAAACAGACAGGAACTGAAATGAATGAGAATTTTCTTACTTTAAGGTCGGAAATGTCTTAGACTTTGGTTCCACTAAACTGCAAATCCAAAAGTTGCAGACCAAGAATTTGGGCCATACACAGCTACAAAAATCAGTCAGCAAAGGTCTTACAGGCTTTTTAAACAGATGATTTTAAGTATGTGGAAGCAACTGCTGATACCATTTCTGATGCTTATATACAGAAAGAGTCACAACGCTGTCAAATACTGTGATACTATGGAGCCTTTTGGACAAGTGCCTCATGGGGTTTCGGAGGTGATGCAGGCGAAGCATTTACCTGCTTCATAGCCAGGCTGATGTGCAGCAGCCCAGGGCCCGTTTGCTAGACTGCACCTCAACCCATGAAACGGTGCTGATGATGTTGGGATTCCAAACTGCCCATCCTGGAAGGATCCCCAGTCTGCCCAGGTATACAGTGTGCTATTGATGCTGCCCATGCAGCTCCTGCGCCGGGATGAGGGAAGGGCACTGCTTGCAGAGCCTACAGTAATAGCATCTCTCACCTGCGGTGAGCAAGAAGAGAGAAGGAGTCCAGCTCATGCAGGCAGCGCAATGCAAGGCACAGGACTAGCCTTAAAAGAATGTGGGAATATCAGTGTCTAATAATTTTGGTACTTGGTATCTGGCAGCTACATTCAGAATCAGGATTTTGCTGTGATGCTGGCACACCATACACACGGAACACAGCCCAATGCCTTGAATGGAAACCGCACCCACAGGGCCGAATCAAGGTTTTTCCCATCATTTGATCACATTAGATAATAGTTGATATTAGCTAATATATTTAAATCTCTTGTTTTGGTAAAGTATTGTACATTTTCTGTAGAAACAAGAACAAATGGAAAAGCTATGACAGTCTCATGGGTACAGCATGATTAGATTACACGCTCACTATCAGAAAGGAACAGTCTTAATTACTTCCTCCCACTGTGCATCAGAAAGTAACATCGTTACATGTAAAGAAATGACTTGTTGGGAGTAGCATGATAAGAAAAATAGCTTGCACATTCAAGAATAAGCACTATCAGTGACAGTGAAAAGAAACAAACAGCATTCCCAGATGACAAAGATAACCAAGATCTCTTACAACTGAAATGGAGGTCTGATCTTACTTTGCTTACAACCGTTGCAAGCTCTCTCATCTCACCAGTCATGCCAATAAAAGCACTAAGGGGTTTCAATAATCGTTCCTAAAAAAGACAAACATAAGTTCTTGTCAGACTTAATTATTTTTAAACAGATGAACTATGAAATAGTTTCAAAAAAGCTGACACATCATAATAATATCAACTTTTAAAACTGTAAAAATATGGATAATAATAAAGACTGTGAAGTACGCCATATTTACAGTAACTCATCTTTTCATCTGATAGAGTCTAATCCTGAATTAACATTAAAACGAGCAGCTCTCTTACTGCACATGTAGTCCTACACACGCCCTACATACATTAAGAGGAGTGAAAAATGTAACTATGGGTGACCACATTGTCACATTCTCGGTTTTGAAAGTCTCTTCAAGTGTAGCAGTTGCCAGGCGGAGGGCCACTAAGTTGGATGCACTGTCCTAGAAGCTATGGCTTGTGTCAAGGAGTGATTACTTTACTGAAAATTTTCTATCTCAACTATCTAAACTCTGCTCCTGTCTCAGCCGAGGTGCACACTAAATAACATACTGAATTCAAAAGAACCAAAATTTAACCCTCAGATGCTCTGTGGGTTTCTGCAATTTTTTTTTTTTTTTTTTGTGAATCATAGGGTATCATTTGTATTTGTTGTCCCGTTCAAAGAGTAAAAAACTGTCAACAAATTTGACTGGTATCAGGTATGACTGTCCACTCTGGGAGGAAATACACCATGCAGAATTCTAAGCCCTTTTTTAGCACCTGGGAATAAAGACGACATCCTTGTGGAATTTTACTTTGTTCCTGGTTATATCAAACTGATGTTCATGTTCATTGGATAGAAATATGAACAGAAACACTTACTGAAGGATCTGGATCACAATTAAGGCTGTTCAAGGCTATTTCATTTGATGATACTTTGACAGCATCCTGAATCATCCCATGGAAGTTAATTACTTGGCCCTAAAGGAGAAAATAATTTTTTGATAGGCTTTAACTGTTAAAACTGCAGTGGACCAAATTTTGCTTGCCGTTACAGCAATTAGTTTCCTTACTGCACATACAGACCTAAATACGGGAAAACCTGACCACGCAATTTGTGGCAGCAATGGGAAAATAACACACATCTCAGTCATTGCAACAATTTAACTTCAGAGCCTCTTATCATCTCATTCATGAATTTGAAATTTATCTTCAATTTTAGCTATTACCTGGGTCTTAAAAACAGAAATATTCTTCCTTCTTGACGGTGTTTGAAATACTATGTAATGCAAGCAGAGCCTCTTACGCAAACAATGACTGCCCAAATGACAAAATTGACCCTTCAGCTAATTATACAACAACATTTTATATAAAAATATACACAAAAAGCTTGCATTTGATATTTGTGAAAAACTTCAATGGGTATTTTCTACATATACATTTCTATCATAAATCACATACTAGGCTTCCACCAACCCTTCTTGGGCGAGTGCTGTCTCCTCCAGTTTTGTCTATTGCTGAGATGCTGAAGCCAAAGTCAGATTGCTCCATAGTAACTGCACTGTCATTACTCTAAAGAAAAATCAATTTTAAAACAGATATGTTGCCAAGTAGATGAGTTGCAGATATTCCACTATATGTATCATCCCACCTCTTCACACATGCCCAGATGAGCTGTATCATTACATGGAAGTTGCAAGAGTAATCCCATATTTGTCAGACAAACATCACTGTGCATTTAGACTTTATCTGACTGGTGACAGCAGTGATGAAAGCCATAGCTCTAGAGCTCAGCATTCAAGTTATTTCATGCACAGAGCTCCCATTTTAATTTGCAGAAATCTGCATTTTACATAGTTATGAGAAGAAACACCTAACAAACAGTTGAAACAACAGGCACAGTGTGTCAAGTCAGAAATTAGGAGCTATTTTAGGATTATAAGTTACTTTGACATTCACTTCACGGCAGTTATTGCTGTAAAGTCCAAAAGCTAATGCTTTGTTGTTTTTTTTTTTTAAGGGTGAGAACTGGTCAAAGATGAGCTCCTCCCTATGCAGAAATATAGACAAGGTCTTAAAAAATACGAAAAGAAAAAAAGAAAAAGAGGTTCTCCTTCACCCAGTTCCTCAAAAGCTGTAACAGACACGGTGCTTGCCCACCAACCTGCAGTTTCTGCTCCCTCCTCTGTAAGGGATGGCAAGAAAGTAGTTTTCACAGCAATCTTACTAAAATGAGACTCACAACACTGAAAACTGCAGAGCCAAATTACTCCCCCGATCTCAAACACCTTATGCATTGCGAAGATGCTTACAACTGACAGCAGACTTTCTACTTGGTTTGTTTGTCTTGCTTTCTGGCACTAAAGGATGCATATACTGGTATTAATGGGAAAACTCTGGTTGCTTTCAGTACAGGGTGGATTATATGACTCCATTTCCTCTAATTTTTGCCTGTGACTCTCTCCCCATCTCACAGCCAGAAAGCATGAAGTCTTGCATCTGTAATCCTTAAATTACATAATTAGTAAACTCCATTAGTTACACAATTATTAATTGTGTAACTCACATCCTCATGCTGCCTATAGCCTCTCAAAATAAAACCACATTAATTTCAACTGTAATGCTGCCAAGATACAGCACATTTGAACCTGTGTGGTGCTCTCCTTGGTGGATGATTTAAATTCTGTTGTACTCCCAGGTGACGTTTTTGACAATGGTCTTCGCACAGTCTGATGTTTGAGCCTTGGGAGATTCTGAGATGAGCTTGTTGCCCTAGAATTAAAAAAATAACGTCTTGAAAGGCTTTAACAACTTCTTTTTCCCTTCAAAATACTGAAAGATTAAAAGGCAGAGTTTTCAAATACAGCAGTCTTGGGCTAACTTTACTCCCATTGACGTTAAGGTATCAATTTCAATCACAGCGAAGTTCAGTGCTTGTGGCTTTCAAACACACCACCCCACCTTACCCATACTGCAGTAACTTTGTAAATTGTCTGCACCTCCATTTCAGAAATAGGTCTCTATTTTCCTCTAAAGGATATGGAAAAATGTACCATGCAGTCAGCAGCGTGCCTTTAGGCTTTAGTATTCCTACAGTATCACAACTTTATTTTAACCACACTGCATATTGCTTTTATAGGCAAATTTTCTGCCCAGAAAAAAAAACATGCATTTCTCTTACCTTCTTGGTCTTCCTCCAGTGCTCAGCTGTTGTTTTTCTGCTGTGGCAAAATTAATATTAAAATGGAAAATAATTAAGGATAAAAAAAAGGACAACTTAATTCCTGCCCCCCCTCTTCAAAAATATTTTTGAGCAAACATTAATAACCTTGGAAATAACAATGCATAAACAGGAACAGCGTGATTATAAACAACGCAAGCTTGCAAAAATGTTTTGAAAACAAACAGATATTGGAGAGAGCAGTTTGGCTTCAAGCTTGTCAAATTTTAGGCTCATTCAGTCTTTGGTTTCTTTGCTTACATTTTAAAACTATCATTTTCACTGTAAAATGGACACTACCAGAAATTAGATCAAGCACAATAAACTAATTTAATATATTGCACAGAATGCTTATTTAATGCTAATAATTCTGTCATTGGTGAATTGGGAAATAAGAATTTACCTCGCTCTTTTCAATAACAATTTTATCATGTTCAACATACAAAGACAGCATAAATGTCACATTGCAATGGTGGTTATCAAGCTATGTTATTTTTTGCACTTACATAATTTGAAACAATATCTGTCAAAGAAAAGCTTTTTTCACAAAATGTCAAACTCGCAAAGCCCAGATCTGAACTCATAAAGCCGAGGGTTTGTATCATACTAGCATGCACACAGTTGTTCCAAAATACATCTATCAGTGTTCTCTGTGCAATGCTTTTGCACCCAGGTTCTCATACACTTACATAAAATAATCCTTCCCAAGCTGCTGTTGCCCTGAAAGAGCTGGGGAACAGGGTGTACTTAGAAGCAGCAGAGCCCATTCAAGAAACGTGTAGTCCTGTGGGTACATCTACAACACTGTAAACCGCAATTCAGCATGGAAATGAGTTGGTTGTGTAAGGTTTGCTGAGTGTTACAAAGAATTTAGCAGGTAGGAGGACCACATTAATCATTTTGTTTGTCCTGCGTATACCACTATCTGACCACGGACACAATTTAAGGCAGGTCACAAAGAACCAAGCACCAGCTTCTCAAGAGACACGTGCAGGAGGGAGGCTGCTTAGACTTTAGGGAAAACGTATGACGCATCCATGCTAGCACAGTTGCAATTCTGGGCTCGGGTAATGGCACAGTGCCCCATATCTGAGTAGCTTTACTGACCAAAAAACAGGTACTGAGAGCTTGTAATTGCCTAAGAGTGGCTTTTTGGGAATAATTTTTTTCACGTGGATCACGGATAGAGTTTTGGTTACCACTCAGTTTGACTAAGAATAAGTATGATGTGACAAATGCTTTGTGATACACTTTCCTTCTTGTAAGAAATCCCTTTAGTTTTGTCCTCCAAGGCTGCTCCTCTTTGTATTAACACCAATCAATAAGTTGTAGCCATAAATCCCTTTTTCATGCAGATAATGTTTGCTTCCAGCTAGCACTATCTTCTACGTCACCATGAATGTAATGATGACTAATTGCTTTAGTACCTTTCAAAATCATTTCACCTATACAGGTAATTTTATTATATTGATATGTTTCATTTACTTGTGATTTAAAAGTTGTTGGCAGTCCCATGAAAAAATGACAACTCCTCAGAGATGTTCCCTCACCAATCATCCCCTTCTCTGATGATTATATTTTTCTTACATGACAAATAGAGATATTGGTGTTTTCTGTACCCTCCAAGCTCTTCATAACTGACTCTTATATAGTTATTCTTATGGGTTCTATCAGTTTTGTGCTCAAGTACAGAACCATTCAGGCTCTCAGGGTCATAAAAGAACACTCATATTTTGATTTGCTTTGTTCTGTATCTTCATTTACACCTCAGACTTTAAGTCCTTTGGAGGAAATAAACCTAGTAATTGTTTGGCACATTACCTTTAGTATATGAAAATGTGCAAAATAAATCGTTAATAAGACTAGTGGTCATAAACTTTTAAGCACTAGCCTGGATGAGCTAAGATATAGTATTTCATTTAAGTGCTTTATTTTAATTTAAAAATTAAATCAAAAAATAGAACAGACTTACTATTCTCTCCCTGTAAAAAGAAAGACATAAAATACTAAAATATATCTATGCCATAATACTTTTGCATTTACATGGCATTTTGCAATATCAAAGCAGTTTTTAAAGACAGAAAAACATCACTTTCTTGTTCCTCTACATACAGAGAGAAGGAAGAGCAGAAAGTCTCAAAGCCCTATCTCTCAATTCCTATGTCCTATAGCTCTGTAACTGTAAGAGAGTTCCAACATTAAACACTGACATACACGAGAAGTGCAGTGTGTATATCAGGCAAATACACCTTTTAGGCTTTGAGAAACAAAAGCTTTCTTTTTGGAAAACAGCCACATACCAGTGTCCAGGACTTTTTTGGTAATTTTAGGATACTTCTGAAATTTTACAAAGTAATAGCTTTCATATTCCATCAAAATTGTCTCAAGATCAATGTTGTCACAAACTTCAAAGCCACGTAAACTTAATTTTGTCTCTTGTTCCAAGGCATTTGCAGCATCGACATACCTAGTAATTTAAAAAAAAACCCCAAAGATTAAAAACCTGAGAGTCATTATCTTATTTTGATTTTTGAGAGAAAAAGAAACAATAGCATTAGTAGGTATATGATATTTTTAACCTGTCCACAAGTCTATTATAAAAGCATAAACTCTATTTAAAAACCCTTTGTTTATTGCTCTAAAGTATTTTTAAATTACATAGGACATTTTTGTTACAGAGACTGAAAGAATTTAGCAAAGTAAACTGCCAGATATATAACAGTAGATTACCTCTTCCTCACATCAAATCAAAGGGCCAAGCTGTCTATCCACTCATCAGAGGACAGAAGGACACATTATGGGAAGTCAGACACACACAAACCCACAAATGTAGAGCACTGTTATTTAAATAACATACCCTTCCTCCATTAAATAATGCAAAATTAGAACGAGGAGATTTTTTCGACGAGCTTGTGTTCGCATCTCATCCTGTGAATTAAGACAGAACTCTAGATCAAATGTAATATTCTCTTTATTGCTGTAAACAGCATCTAAATGTAGCCTGTGGAAACAAACAAATTAAAACAACAGCATGTAAGAACTGTAAAACAACTCACTGTTAATAAACAGAAGGAAAGTGGTTTTCAATGTAATTTTTCTTACACATCATCAGGGCTACTGGATGGGTAGAAACATTTTCCTAGAGAAGAGAAAATTACTTTGAGGTTGAAAAAATAACTTACTTCCCTTACTGTGGCTACGGATCTCCAAAATGGAATTTTGTGGAATTTTGCTGTGGAATTTAGGGTAGGACTCTTGCAGATGTCATGTACAGTACCTCCAAGGGCTGTGCAAGGAAATCCTGTCCTCCAACATGGCTGTGTCCCTCCCTCTACAAACTAGAAACCCATTTTCCAAGTGCTTGGAGAAGGAGGGATGGAGACAAGGTCCGGGATCTGCATAACTGCATTACAAAAATCAGCTGTACACTGTTGGCACCTCCCAATTCACAGACCTTGACATATAAGCACAAGTGAAATACAGAGTATTTGAAAAACTAGTAGCTTGGGATATCATCAAACTCACCTGATAGTAACACTGGAGTGACCAAAGTCATAGAATCATAGAATGGTTAGTTGGAAGGGACCTTAAAGATCACCTGGTTCCAATCCCCCTGCCATGGGCAGGGACACCTCCCACCAGCCCAGGTTGCTCCAAGCCCCGTCCAACCTGGCCTTCAACACCTCCAGGGATGGGGCAGCCATGGCTTCTCTGGGCAACCTGTACCAGGGGCTCACCACCCTCACAGGGAAAAATTTCTTCTTAATATCTAACCTGAATCTCCCCTCTTTCAGTTTAAAACTGTTCCCCCTCATCCTATGGCTCCCCTCCCTGATGAAGACTCCTTCCCCAGCTCTCCTGGAGCCCCTTTAGGGACTGGAAGGGGTTCTAAGGTCTCCCCGGAGCCTTCTCTTCTCCAGGCTGAACACCCCCAACTCTCTCAGCCTGTCTTCATAGGAGAGGTGCTCCCAACATGCAGAAATTATGGAGTCAGTCTCCTAGATTTCTTCATACAGACTGGAGAACTCAAAGTCATTCACAAATGTTTCAGTGATAAAAACAAGGCAGCATAAAACATCTTTGCCATCATTCAGTGAAGCTACATCTGGGGGAGCATAAAGCGCAGTATCACAAATAGCAAAAGGCACACTGGAAACAGAAATCTCATAAGATGCTGGAACAAACTCTTACTCTGATGAAACACGCTATATAAGCTGAGTGTCTGCAGAGAAACCTTGAGATTTTAGAGTGATAACAGAAGTTGCTGCAAGGAGAGCTCTAGAAATCAGCATATTGACTTTGGTTTGCCTCACTGGGATTTGAAGCTGGCACCACAGGAAAAGCAGGTATGGCCAAACCCACATTTAGGTAAATAAATTATTTCCTTTTTCTTTTAGGATGCTGACATTCAGCATTATTTTTGGGGACCCAGTGTGAGCATGAAAGACTGGCTCTTATTCAGTGCATGGGGAAAGGGCAGTGGTTTCTGTTGCTTGCATAGCATATATATATTCCTGATCATGTTGCACAGTAATGCATATACAGACCCCCTTTTCTACCCCTGGTTTCTCTCTCTTCTACCCCAATCGAACATCCCTGATACAAAGCCTAGCCCAAGTGTTAGGGACCTGCAGGAAACAAACCCACAAATCTTTGTCCTCTTCATACTGGGAACAGAGCCTCAGTGTCTGTAGCAATGCCTCCTGTTGCTCTCCACCAGTGCCTGGCAGACAAACAAGCCAAAGAATTACTATTGACCAAGGCTTATGTTTTTAAATCCCACAAGAGGTATAAAAGACATATCCATACAGAAAGACAATTACCCTATCCTTCACGGTCTCTTGGAAGGAATTATCATTATAGTAAACTGCGGATACTGGAGAGTCATGTATTCCTACAAGCAAAAGTGCTTTTGGGTGGTGCAACGTTACTGCAAAACGAACAACGTCTTTCCTTTGTCAGATTAGATCTATGTGCTCCCTCTGCTCCATATGCAGCAGCGGATATCATCTAGAATTCTGCTGCTAATTTGAAAACTTGAGATAGCACAATCAGCTATTGTGCCATTTTAAAACTAATACCTCTCCGTTTGTTTGCCAGCCTGTACAAAGTACCGGGTAGAGCAGGCAAAAGGTCCCTCAGTACAGCGGGTATTTTCTGGGATGTTTGCTTCAGATGTGGGGCCATCTAGTGACAAAACTAGGAAAGGGATGGGCTTTGCTTTTAACGTCTCCTGCAGGGTGAAAGCATACTTTTATTTCAAATATCAACAAAAAGATTGGTAGAATCTTCATTCTTGTTTTCTAGAGAAAAGAATCAAACTGGATGGGGAAAAAGGAAGAACTCATACCCCATTTCTAAGCTTTATTACTTTTTATTGTCTTGATAAAGTTATGCAGCCACTCTGAGTCCATCAGGAAGCTACAATACTGTTTGCCTTTCAGTGGTGGTACAAAGATGATTTTTCTAAATCATGTTAGGGAGGAAGAGTGCTGTGTAAATGCTTGGTAGACAAGTAACTCCTCAATGAAGTAGATTAATTCCTGAGAGGTGCTGCAACAAGAAACAAACCAATTCTGAGAACTATTATGAGCAAAGAGAAAACACTGACACCCTGGGATAAAAGGATTTTTTCCTTCTTATTGTTTTGAGGTCCTGGTGTTTGGAAAACAGATTTTGAATTGTGGACCTTTCACCATTTCTCCTGGATGATCTGAATCTGCCGAAACAGAGTTGGAGGTGCAAGAAAGAAGCTGGAGTCATCATTGGCTGAGAATCCCACCTGTACGTTCTTCTAAATGCAACTGCTCCTGCTGTTTTACGCTGAGAAAAAGTAACTGTTGTGTTTGCCCACATATCAAAAGGCAAGATCACAGCTACCTCTGAATATTTAAACACAGTATGAAAACACAGCAGTTGCCACAGAAGACAAACACATCAAGCGTTTCAGTTGGAGTATTTACGGTAATGCTCTGAGAGAGGAATTGCATCTGCCTGATGAACTGACCGGACTTACAATCCATGCTTGAAAATTTCCTTGAAGAGAATTTGTATTCTGGTGTGCGTTCTGCTGCTGTCAATCCCACCAGGTTACTTCTGCTAACCCTAGAGGTGTTTTAAGTTCTGGTATATACAGCAATACAGCTATGGGCATAATTTCAAATACTCTTCTATGTAGAGACTTGCTTTAGGTATGGGATAATATTGTGTCTATGTATGAGCAACCCACTTCAACCTTAATGTAGTAATGTTCTTCCTTTTGTGTTGACCAAGCAGAAGCAAAAGTGAACCTTTACATCACAAAAGAGCCCCATATGAAAATCAGAAGAAAGTTTAGCCTGAGAGGTTCATTATGTCTGTATCTTGTGTTATTAAGAATGTAAACAGCAATGGTTAATTTTGAGAAGTCAGACATGTGCCCAAAGAAAATTAATGTCGTGGTTTAAGCCAAATCGGCTACTGGGGACCTGGGGGACCCCAGATGGGACAGAGAGATGCTCTCCTCTACCCCTCTTCAGAGAGAGGGGCAGAGGAGGAAAAAGAGACTTACGAGTTTAGAAGGAACTAAACTACTTTAATGAAATATTAATAATAAGATAAGAAAAAAAAAAAAAAAGAAATATATACAAAACCGTATCAAGCTCCCGAGATGACAATCATGACACCGGCTGGC